TGGTTGCTACAAAGTGGTTGCCGAGCAACAGACAAACGTAAACAAAGGTGTATGTTACTTTGTAGAGTCATTTACAACAGCTTCGAACGCAGCTCAACCAATCAGAATCAAGCACCGGAACTCTCCGGTTTATAATTGTAAATAATATAAACATTCATTCTTTTTTAACTTATTGTGACGGATTCATCAGTGCCAGTGTCATTTCGTTTTATGCGTATTTGGCGCCACCTAGTGTTGTGGGTGTATTATTGACATGTCAAAGTCTAGACCCTGAATATAAGACGACCGCGTTTTTTCAGATGTATTTCCAAGAAAAAAATATCGTCTTATATTTGGGACAATACGGTATTATTATTTCTCTCTGTATCCGTTTCATTTAAAATTTGGTTACTTTTTTTTATAATAGTTTAATAATATTTTTTAAATAATAGTTTACACTATTATTTAAGATTAATTTATTTTTATTTTTATTTTGGTTTTAGTTTGTATTTATGCCCAATTTTAGTGCTTCGGTGCTTTCAGTTTTGCTTTTTAATTTTTATTAGTTTTATGTGCCTTTGTCAATTATATGTTTTTTTTTTTTTTTTTAGGTCTAATTTATTTTTAGCTTTAGTTTTATTTTTTTTTTCTGTCCAGTTTGTAATTTTAGTGCTTTAATGCTTTTTAATTTATTAGTAATTTTATTATGTTAAGTGTTTATTCATGTACACTTAGTAATCCTAGTGCTTTAAGTTTTCATGATTTTATTTAAATATTTAGTCATTTTGTTATTTGTCTTGTCATTTTTATTAGTTTTTTTATTATTATTTTTTATCACTTTACAATACGGTGCATTAGTTAACTACTTTAGTTAACATGAACAACACTACAGTATTTATTAATCAGGTTAATGTTAATTTCAACATTTACTAATGCATTATTAAAAACAAAAGTCGTGCTTGTTAACATTAGTTAATGCACTGTGACTGTATTTTCATTAACTAACATTAACAAAGATTAATAAATACTGTAATAAATGTATTGTTAATACATTAACTAAAGGAACCTTATTGTAAAGTGTTGCCGTTTATTTTTACTTTGGTTTTATTTTAAATTTATGTCCAGTTAGTGCTTTTGACTTTTATTATTATTTGTTTTAATATAATTATTATTTAGGTTTATTTTAGTTTTAATATTTATTGTTAAGTTAGCAATTTCAGTACTTTCTGTAATCTATAAAAATATTTTTTTTCAATATTAGGTTTAATTAACTTTTAGTTTGTTACATTTCGGTTTTAATCTTTAATTATTAGTTACGGTTAGTAATTTTAGTGCTTCAAGTAAATAAATTTAGAATTTTGGCAACTAGCTAAAAAATTTTTTTCGTCCATTATTTATATTTTATTTGAGCTTTATTTCAATGAACAGAAATGTTTTAATGGTTTCAGTCAACGATAAAAGCCTCATATGTGACCCTGGAGCACAAAACCAGTCTTAAGTGTCAATTTTGCGAAATTGAGATGTATGCATCATCTGAAAGCTGAATAAATAAGCTTTCCATTGATGTATGGTTTGTTAGGATAGGACAATATTTGGCCGAGATACATCTATTTGAAAATCTGGAATCTGAGGGTGCAAAAAAATCTAAATATTGAGTTATGTTTTTTTTTTTTTTTTTAGGTCTAATTTATTTTTAGCTTTAGTTTTATTTTTTTTTTCTGTCCAGTTTGTAATTTTAGTGCTTTAATGCTTTTTAATTTATTAGTAATTTTATTATGTTAAGTGTTTATTCATGTACACTTAGTAATCCTAGTGCTTTAAGTTTTCATGATTTTATTTAAATATTTAGTCATTTTGTTATTTGTCTTGTCATTTTTATTAGTTTTTTTATTATTATTTTTTATCACTTTACAATACGGTGCATTAGTTAACTACTTTAGTTAACATGAACAACACTACAGTATTTATTAATCAGGTTAATGTTAATTTCAACATTTACTAATGCATTATTAAAAACAAAAGTCGTGCTTGTTAACATTAGTTAATGCACTGTGACTATTTTCATTAACTAACATTAACAAAGATTAATAAATACTGTAATAAATGTATTGTTAATACATTAACTAAAGGAACCTTATTGTAAAGTGTTGCCGTTTATTTTTACTTTGGTTTTATTTTAAATTTATGTCCAGTTAGTGCTTTTGACTTTTATTATTATTTGTTTTAATATAATTATTATTTAGGTTTATTTTAGTTTTAATATTTATTGTTAAGTTAGCAATTTCAGTACTTTCTGTAATCTATAAAAATATTTTTTTTCAATATTAGGTTTAATTAACTTTTAGTTTGTTACATTTCGGTTTTAATCTTTAATTATTAGTTACGGTTAGTAATTTTAGTGCTTCAAGTAAATAAATTTAGAATTTTGGCAACTAGCTAAAAAATTTTTTTCGTCCATTATTTATATTTTATTTGAGCTTTATTTCAATGAACAGAAATGTTTTAATGGTTTCAGTCAACGATAAAAGCCTCATATGTGACCCTGGAGCACAAAACCAGTCTTAAGTGTCAATTTTGCGAAATTGAGATGTATGCATCATCTGAAAGCTGAATAAATAAGCTTTCCATTGATGTATGGTTTGTTAGGATAGGACAATATTTGGCCGAGATACAACTATTTGAAAATCTGGAATCTGAGGGTGCAAAAAAATCTAAATATTGAGAAAATCATCTTTAAAGTTGTTCAAATGAAGTCTTTAGCAATGCATATCACTAATCAAAAATTAAGTTTTGATATATTTACGGTATGAAATTTACATATATCTTCATTAAACATGATCTTCACTTAATATCCTAATGATTTTTGGCATAAAAGAAAAATCGTTAATTTTGACCCATACAGTGTATTGTTGGCTATTGCTACAAATATCCCCCAGCGACTGCTTTTGTGCTCCAGGGACACACATAAGTAATACCTCACCTCTGAAACCACTTTCCTTTATGCTGAATCGCCTTTGAATCATAATATGATTTTTTGTAGCATGCTCTGAGAAACAAACATCCTCAGCGAGCTGCTGTCTAGAGGTCCGCGGGTCTAACCAGGTTTTGTGTGTCGATCAGGACGAGGGTCTGAGGCTGAGGAGGTTCCAGCGCAGCGAACACGTCACGATGAACTCCAGCTCTGCTCTGGGTCACGAGTCGAGAGCCGGATCTCTTCCCTCGCTGCTCGTCGTCATCGCAGCCGTCTTCATCGGATTCTTCCTCGGCAAGTTCATCCTGTAGAGCGACTCCCGCTCTCTCTGTTTGGGTTCATCCGCTGTTTTCTGTTGAGGGATGGATGGATGTTAGAGCCATGAACTGCTGTATCCAGCGAGATCTGAAAGTCTTCCCCTCAAACTCGTTTCGTTTCACTCAAACTCCCATCGAAAGTGTAAATGTGGTTTTAATCTTCTGATCGAACAGGAGAGCCTCCTTCTGTGCATTCGTTCTGCTTCCGTTCCTAACGACACCAACGCAGACTGTTTTATTACTGTAATTATCATTTATTGATTATATTATTAATGTACTTTCTCTCAGAGCGATGTGTTCACTTTACTGTCTCATACTAGACGACATTGAAGAAATAAAACGAAAGAAAAAACTGAGCCTGTCTTTCATTCGTTAGATTCATGTTGCGTTTCTGTAATTAATTCAGCTTGGACTTCTGGTTTTGGCTTCTGTGAATGTTATACTGAAGGATGAATGTGATTAAAATGATTAAAATGAACTTTTTCTCCATGTATTAAAATGTTTTAGTAAATATACACTGCTGTTCAGAAGCTTGGGATCTGTAAGATTTGTAATGTTTTTAAAGAAGTCTCTTCTGCTCATCAAGGCTGCATTTATTTGATCAAAAATACAGAAAAAACTGTAAAATTGTGAAATATTATTATAATTTAAAACAGCTGTTTTCTATGTGAATATCTGTTAAAGTGTAATTTATTCCTGTGATCAAAGCTGTATTTTCAGCATCATTACTCCAGTCTTCAGTGTCACATGATCTTCAGAAATCATTCTAATATGCTGATTTATTATCAGTGCTGGAAACGGTTTTTGCTGCTTCATATTTTTTTGAAACCTGTGATACTTTCTTCAGGATTCTTTGATGAATAAAAAGTAAAAAAGAACAGCATTTACTTAAAATAGAAATCTTTTGTAACAATATATAGTAACATTCAAACGTTTGGGGTCAGTAATTTTGTTTCTTTTTTTGAAAGAAGTTAATACTTTCATTCAGCAAGGATGTGTAAAATTGATAAAAAAGTGACAGTAAAGACTTGTATTGTTAGAAAAGATTTCTATTTTGAATAAATGCTGTTCTTTTTAACGTCATTCATCACAGAAACCTGATTTCTGAAGATCATGTGGGACTGAAGACTGGAGTAATGATGCTGAAAATACAGCTTTGATGAAAGAAATAAATTACAGTTGAACAGTTATTCACATAGAAAACAGCTGTTTTAAATTACAATAATATTTCACTATTTTTACTGTATTTTTTATCAAATAAATGCAGCCTTGATGAGCAGAAGACACTTCTTTAAAACAAATAAAAAATCCAAACTTTTCAGCAGCAGTGTATGTGTAGATAAATATTGCTGTTTATGACTATATATTGTATATTGGTGCATAGAAAGGAAAAAATAAATATGAAGCTCTATTGTCAACAGGCTAAAAAAATTTATACAATTTATTAATAATGCCCAGCTCAACTGCAGACTGAAAACAGACTGCAATCTAAATTCTAAAAAGGTTTTATTAAATTTTTTTTTGCAAATTCATAGAGACAAACAATCATTTTCAATTTTCATAGATTCATTTTTCACTGTCCTTCTGCTCTTTTGCAACGAATGTAATGATTAAAAAACACACGTTGCTTTATTTGTTTTGTACGATCCAGTTTTTTGGACGCTGTCTTGTTTTTTGGAAACTTCTAAACTCTCAAACAAGTGTTTTTGGCATTTAAAGTGTCAGAATAAAGCATTTCGCTCTCAGGATTGAAACAAACACTGACCGTCACTGTAGTTCATCATCACACACAATGAAAACAAAGGAATCAATGTTAGAACTACTAAACTAAACTAAACATCGACTGCTCCTTCAGTAAATCCTGACCGATTCATCCGTCATCTTCATGAGTTAATCAGTTTCACAGAAATGATCCAAACAGCTGCAAAGAATGAAGCGTTTCTCATTTCAGTCTCAATGTGTAACTTAACATCTTCATAGAAAAAACGGCGGATAGAATGCTTTCATTCATTGCATTTGACCACTTTATCGTATGGCGATAGAATTGTTGTTTTATTTGCAAATCTCATTTTATTTATTTGTGAATTTAATTCATGTTTGTGAGACTTTAAGATTTATTTGTGGATCTCATTCTATTTATTTGTCAATATGTTTAATGTTTGTTAATCTCTTTACATTTATTTATGGATCGTAATCTATTAATTTGGAATTAAGCAACAATTCTATCTCCATATTATCGTCATATTTAGCTGTTGCTGATTCCTGTGAGAGTGAATGAGCGTCAGTAGATTACTGCAGGGTCAGAGATGAACAGCGTCTGTCAGAAACTCTCTGATCTTCCTAAAAACACAGAAGGCCTGATCCACGACGTCAAGAAAAATCAATCAGTGTCTCAGATGCTTCCTGAGCCCAAGTCCTAAGATGATTTACTCGAGCTTCAAAAAACATTAATTTTTTTCAAAATGTTTTTTGATGAGATAAAATTTTAAGGGATGAGATATAAAAAAAAAAATTGGATGAGAAAACAGGTTTTTTTGTTGAGATAAATGTTTTTTTTTTGTTGAGATTTTTTGATGATTTTTTTTTTTTTGATGAGATAATGTTTTTGATGAGATTAAAAAAAATTATTTTTTTGTTGAGATAAAAAATGACATTTTGATGACATTTAAAAAATGTCTTTGGATGAGATCTAAAAAAATTGATACATTTTTGATGAGAAAAAAAAGTTTTTTTGTTGAGAATTTTTTTTTGGATGAGATATGAAAAAAAAAATTGATGAGAGAGAAAAAAAATAATCTGAGAGAAATAATCTTTGGACTGGGGCTCAGGAAGGATCTAAGACATTAGTTTTTTTTCCCAGCTTGAATTTTTTTCACGTTGTGATTCAGGAATTTGAAACATAAGTACCAAAGGTTGTGGAAGTCAGCAGTGATTATCTACAGTTATAATATTTTCCCTTTCCTTCCATGCAGCCCTTAAAATGTTCACATCGTCTCAAACTCACTCGTGTATAAAAATACTCCTCATATGAACATCCACGTCTCACTCATACAGGGAAAAACACCCAGAAATGAAGGTTCTGTCATCATTTTTTCATTTAAGCGGTTAATTTTCTGACAAAGATTTAAGGAAACAAACCAACACATTTTTATAGACAGTCCAGGAGCTACGTTTGGAAACATGCTCGTATGTGTCAGATTTGATCCTAAATTCTATGGATTTCATGCTCCATCAAACTGAGGAACAAAACGGGATTTATAAAGGCAAAAACTGACATGAAAAATAATTAATCCAACATTGTTCATTAAAATAGACAACCACAATATGCATTAATATTATTATATGCGAAAATGGGCAACTGTGATAATTACACTACAGAAAATAATTGATATACACAATTTTTTTGCAGAGAAATATATATAAATATTTCTATAAATACAATATTTATAAATATATAAATATCTATGTTTTGGACAGTTAAACTTTAGATTTTTTTATGTTTAGAACCATTACAATTTAAGACTTTTATTTATTTTAATTAATTAGTTAATTAATTGGTTAGTTAGTTGCATAGTGATACAAAAATATATATATATATAAAGCATAGTGCACCACAATAAAAACCCCAAGCCGTGTTTGTAAGGAGTTTTTCTGTTAAATGAGTTGAACTCTGACCTCTGAACACAAACTCGGTGCCGCCCATGACGCGTGTGGAGCGCAGGCCGCGACTGTAGCGTCCGCGGGCGAACAGGCTGAAGGTGGGGTGTCTGCAGGCCGGGTCAGAGTAGTGATAGTAGTGACCCTCCCAGGTGTGGTTATCCTCGTGGAAGATGAAGTGTCGCGTGAGGAACAGAACCGTGGGCCGGACCTCGCAGCGGCGGGAAGCCCACTGGCCCCTCAGAGTCACCGTCAGCTCGGGCCGCGGCGGGAGAACCGGCGGATCAAACTCGTCTGAGCTCGAGACGATGCGGCAGACCACGCAGCTGAGATCCTGATTCTGAGGACACACGTGACATCACACTCTTTTCAGTTGCTTTAAAGGTGACATATCATGAAAATCTGACTTTTCCAGGTTGTAAGTGCTATAATCAGGTCCCCGGTGCATCTACCAACCAAGGAAACGTTAAAAAGATTAACCCAGTAACTTTGTTTTGGGAAGCCTTTTTCTGCAAGCGTCTGAGAAAACCAGCGCGTCTGATTTCGCTCCCTTGGTGACGTGGCAAAGGGATCTCATTATAATATTACCGCCCCTTAATCTGTAAGTTTACACCCACGGCGCCGTCATT